GGAAGAATATGGGCTGGCACGCCATGCCATGGCAGTGTATGAGAGGGCCACTCAGGCTGTGCAGCCTTCGGAGCAGTATGACATGTACAATATCTACATCAAGAGAGCAGCTGAAATCTATGGGGTCACACACACACGTAGCATCTACGAGAAGGCTATTGAGGTTAGTTCCTTCTTTCCAAATAAATAATGCTGTGTTTAAAACTCCAGGATGAGTCTCTTGCTGTCGCCTAGAGATGAACTAGTCTGCTAGGTAATGGCTGAATAGGATTGTGTTCCCTTATATGATATGGGGTAAATCCAAATACAGCTTCTGTAATCACTATTACAACTATGAGGATATTGTGCAATATGCTGTTTTTGCTCTTATTCAGCACAGGTCAAAGTGTTGAGTGCTACCTTTTTATAAAGCCCTATACAGCTTGGGATACTTCCCAGAGACACCTGCTTGTGCCCTGAGGTCCACTTCAGAAACAGGGCTGAGAGTGAGCCAGTCCCTTTGATTGCGACCCCCAACCTTTGGGAGGCTCACTTGGTGTCCACACGAATCTTTGTCATCATGCAACAGGACTGCTAACATCAATTCAACTTGTGTCTTTTTCTGCTGCTGTGCTCTTATTGCGTCCCTTTCGGTTTGCAATATGTGTTTGGATGCTTTTGTTTTTAACTCGTTAGCCGTTTTAGAAACATTGGCGGTCAGGGTGCAATTTTAACACGTATCCCCATTGCAGGTGCTGACAGATGAACACGCTCGGGAGATGTGCCTGCGCTTTGCCGACATGGAGTGCAAGCTGGGCGAAATAGACCGAGCTCGGGCCATCTATTCCTACTGTTCGCAGATGTGTGATCCCCGAGTAAGTCACCTGGTGGACTCTCCTTTGTGAGAAGTTTCTAATTAAATTGGATGGCCATCTGTCAGGGGTTCTTTAGCTGCGATTCCTGCATTGCAGGGGGTTGGACTAGTTGACCCTCGGGGACTCTTCCAACTCTACAATTCTATGATCTCTCCCACACACTAGAGAACTAGTCATACATCTGCCTGAGCATGGTCTTTCAGGACCCAGTGTGGGAAGGTGAGAAAAGCTAGCTGTCCATTATGTTCAAGGATAACTCTATCAGCATTATTATTATTATTTATTATAACAACTTATATGCAAGGATTTTAATTTGTGGTGCAGAAGATACACTGCACAGGAACAACTCATCTCTGTACACAGACACACCTCCGTGTTGCTTTTCCCAAGCAGAGCTCAAGGGAAAGACTAGTGAAGCAGGAAGGAGAAGTTCCGCTTGATCTGTTGAACTTCGCAGTGACTGCCTTCTTTCCCACCCCACCCCTCAAAACACTTTTTCTTCTCCTGCCAGACTACTGCCACTTTCTGGCAGACATGGAAGGAATTTGAGATCCGGCATGGGAACGAAGACACTATCCGGGAGATGCTTCGCATTAAACGAAGCGTGCAAGCAACCTACAACACACAAGTCAACTTCATGGCCTCTCAGATGCTGAAGGTGTACAGCAATGCCACGGGCACAGGTAGGTCTCGCCCCCTGCCCCCTGCACAGGTCCTGGCAGAGAGGGGTGTCTGCTGCTACATCTCCTGTTCTGTTTTAACCCTTCCCTCCTGCTTGTCTTTGGGTTTCAGTGTCTGACCTGGCACCTGGGCAGAGTGGCATGGATGACATGAAACTGTTAGAGCAGCGGGCGGAGCAGTTGGCAGCTGAAGCGGAGCGAGATCAGCCCCAAGCGAAGGAGAAGATCCTGTTTGTCAGGTGGGTGTACTGCAGGCCAGGGAGACTTGCTTAACCTCTTCGCTGTAGGTCACCACCCAGCATGCAATACACCAGGGGTCATATTTCAGGTTGGGCAAGAACCAAGCTGTTTGTCATAAGCTTGGAGAGTTGTAGAAGTGGGGATGGCAGCACTAGGTGGCTGCTGCTGGAAGTGGGAAAACATGCAGTGTTCTTGCTGTGAGAAACTAGGGAGTAGACAGAATCTATTTAATGTGGAGTGTACATTACTTTTTATTTTAATGCATGTATGTTCTGGTTAGAGGTTTTAAAAATATTTTCCTCTGGAATTTGGGTAGTAGAAGAGGCACGGAAGTATAGCCAGGGCCACAGAAACCGCCTTGTGCCTACTGTCTCCACTACTTCAAAATTTTTTGTGGTTGTTGGGCCGGGGAAGAGACATTTTTAAACAACTGATCAGTTCGTCCATCTGCTTTGTTAAAATTCTGTATGTGTCCACATGTACGCAAGTTGGATAGGTAGTGGAATTCTAGTTCTTATCTTGATTGAACTTGTGGCTCTCTTGGGTAGTGGCAGGCACTCACTGTCAGACCCAAGCTGGGCTTTGTCGTTACATGACTTGATCCAGGAGTCTTGTCTACTAAATGTTATGGTGAGAAGTTTAAGATATTGACATTAGACTAGAGGGAGGAGTGTATGTGACTTATGTTTTAACCTCCAGTGGCCACTTCGCTGTGCATTTTTGTTCTGTTTTGCCTTGATGGTTGTTACAGTGAAGCCAAATGCATTTACAGTGGTGCCCCGCAAGACGAATGCCTCGCAAGACGAAAAACCCGCTAGATTAAAGGGTTTTTCGATGCGCTTCGCAAGACGATAACGTCTTGCGAGTCTTGCAATTTTTTTCGCTTCCCCCCCCTTTTTCTAAGCCGCTAAGCCTTTAATAGCCACTAATAGCCTTTTAGCCGCTAAGCCTTTAATAGCCGCTAATAGCGCTAATCCGCTAAGCCGCTAATAGGGTTGCTTCGCAAGACGAAAAAACCGCTAGACGAAGAGACTCATGGAACGGAGTATTTTCGTCTTGCGAGGCACCACTGTAATGCATTTATGGTCATGCGGATAGTGAAGCTGTAGAGTTGAGTCTGGACAGTGTTCTTGAAGCTACAAACATGAGTCTGACCAAACTGCGGGAGACAGTGGAAGACAGAAGTGCCTGGCGTGCTCTGGTCCATGGGGTCACGAAGAGTCGGACACGACTATACGACTAAACAACAACAACAAGAGTTGAGTCAACGCTGCAGGTTCTAATAGTTGGTGTAGCTTATCTAGTGGCTTTCAGTTGCAGCCTGCAGTAGAGAAGAGACATGTGAACCTGTAAAGCCAGCTTGATCTTCTCAGGATGGACCTGTTTCCTGCAGTATAGGCATGGGGCAGTCACTGTGTGAATAATATTTTGCTGGCTCCTGTACGATTCACCAGTTTCTTGTTCCTTATTTCTAGGAGTGATGCTTCCCGCAGTGAGCTGGCTGAACTCTCCAAACAGGCTAATCCTGATGAGATAGACATTGATTTGGATGATGGAGATGAGAGTGAGGATAATGAGCCTGACGGTAAGTAAGAGACGGTGCTGTATGGTCTAGTTTTTGAAGCGAATAGGCACAGACTAGGGTTTACCAGTAGATCTCTAGATGATTTGCAACAGAGCAGCAAGGGTTTCTGATCTGCCAGGTCTCTAAAAAGTCCCCACACATGAAAAAGGGGGATTGCTGAAGATACTTTTGGCAAAACTAAGAGTATATTTTTGTGTGAAAAAGAGAGTTCAGCTTAGTTCTGGCACAAATCAGAAATGGTTGCTAGAATGCTGAGGTCCAACCCAGCAAAGTCATTTCTCTAAGCCTGACATCTGACTGTTCTTGCTTTATATTGATTATCCCAAATCTTCTCTCCTACAGAGGTGCAGCTGGAGCAGAAGAGTGTTCCTTCCGCTGTGTTTGGAGGCCTTAAGGATGATTGAGCGGCTGCAGATGGATGAACTGCATTTGAACTAGGGCTACAGGTGTTGTATCTGTATAAGCTGGGCTTGGTGTAATTTGTTTGTTTTCCTTGATAGTATCCTTTTCTATTCTGTCACGTTGCTATTTATAAAATCTTTTTATCAAATGTCTGGTGTAGGTCTGTATGGGAAACTAGCTCAATTGGTTAGAGCATGGTGTTGGCAGCGCCAAGGTTGCAGTTTCAATCCCTGTAAGGGACAGCTACAAATTTGTGCATTGCAAGGGGTTGGACTGGATGATCCTCAGGGTCCCTTCCAGCTCTATGAGAAAAGGTGGGCAACAATGCCAGCTGCTTTATACATGAATAAGTAACCTGCCCTGCCAGCTGCTAGTTTGGCATACGTTTCATTACTGAAACTCTAACTCTCCTAAGCTTAAAAAGTAATAAAAGGGGCTTCTTCAATTTATGTCAAACACTGCTTTCAGTTCAGTGGCATGTTCAATACAATGGAGTGCTTAACCCCCAGCTTCCTAATGGAATTTCCTTAACTGTGCTGCTGATAAGAATTCATCCTCTCTCACTAGCTTAACTGTTGTGACAACAGTTACTTCATAAGATCCTGGCAGCTTAAAGCAGACTTGTGAATAAGCTCTTGATGTTTAGGAACAATGAGCATTAAGGAAAGGGGGTTAAGCAGTAGTGATGAGGTTGTTACCACATACCTTCTGTGAATGCCAACGTATAATTTGTTTTTCCTGCTATAGCAGTTTCTCCCAAGTCCTGTTCTTAAGTATATTCCTGCTCTGCTTGGTCATGCTCATGGGGGCAAGTCCAACAAATAGCTGGGTGGAACAGGGAGAATGACCTTACTTCCTTCTACCAACCAGCTGAACACCTACCAAACCTTCACTGCTTTCAAGGAAGCAATACTTAATTAAACCCAAACAAGGAAACAGCAGCTGGTCACACCCCAGTAGTTCTATCCCTGCATTAAACATGGAACAAGTGCACATCCGACAAAAAAGGCTTTAAAATGGCTAGACTCCTAGCTTCCCCGTGCCTCTGCGCTGCTATCCAAAACAGCTGAGTAATGGGCACAGGCTAAAGCTGAAGGCAGACACTTGCAACATAAAGCCAATTATAGAGAGAAAGGAAAGGCAGGCTTTCAAAACCAGAGACACAATCTGCCGCCAGTGTCTTTTATTCACCCCACTCTGTGTGGGATGGAAGGACACCAAGTAATAACCAGCAAAGAGTTCATTTAAGTTACTTTATTAAGCAGCCAGGGACAAAGTTCCCACCTGCCCTTTTAATTTTTTTTAACACCAACCCTGCACTATACTGTATCCCCAAACACCTACATGACATTCGGTCATCAACAAGCAACCACGAGAGACCTGGAATAAAGTTGAACAAGACAGAACCCCAAGCTGAACAGGATTGGCTTCCCCCAGCTCCCTCCTGCACTCTGCCTCGAGAGCAACTGCTACCCCAAAAGAGCAGGAGGTGGAGGAAAAGACCCAGACAGCAAGTGGGCCGGGTAGGGGGTGGGGGAGGAGAGAAAGAATAGAGGGTAGAAGCCCCTCAGTGCCCAGGCCTCCTCTGGCTCTTGGGGAGGACAACTGAAGGAGCAGCCTACATTCACTGCCTGCTACAGCCCAGAGGTGCAGCTCTAAACTGGTAAGGAAGGAGTTTGCATTTTCCATTTGGCAGCTCAGTTCAGGATCCACAGAGGCCTGCTCTGTGACTACAGCAACTCCCAGCTTCCAAATATTTTGAATGAGAATGGCCAGCTGAAGCTTGCCAAATTCACAGGCTCCCTGCCATCCCCCAAAATGCCTGCTAAAAAGTTATGACATGTAAACAGCCCTTGCCCATCCCTACACCAAATAGCCCTTGTGAACAAGGGAGCATGGGGGGGGGGGGAGCCCAAAGGGGAAGTGGGGAAGGAAAACAGACAAAACTCCAAAGGAGGAAACATCCATCCACACACACACACACACACACCTTGTTCTGTGCTACCCTCCCCCCACCATGCCTATCTCCATATACAAATTCACCCTGCCCCATTGTTCCAAATGCAATTTGTTCCTTTTTATATACAAATAATTGAAAAATCATTAAATAGCTCCAAGATATATATATATATCTATATATATATGTATAAGTATGTATAAATATAAACAGGGGCACCCAGGGAAACAAGAAACCCCGAACAGAACCAAAGAAGGCCTGGGCCCCGTTCCCCAGGCAAGCAGGAGTCAGAGAGAGACCCTTCATTGCTGTGGTGGTGGACCAACATTCAGGTGGTGGCTGGAGGCAGACAGAGCATGCAGGAGCCCAGACGAGCGCACACAGGCCGCATGTAGGGCAGTGTCACTATGGCAACTCTGAGCCTCTAGATTATCATGGGATTTGGCAGTTTCCAGAGCATCTGTCAACAACGCCCCCCCCCCAAAAGCAGTCTCCTTAGAACTGGCATCAGAACTATGCACAAGACTCCTGTGTGGCTCTGATCCAGCCAGAGATAACGCTGGTCCAGTACAAGATGTAGCCCCCTGCTTAACAGACCCATCTACCCAAGCCACCCATTTTGGAAGGCTATGTGTAGGGTTCCATGTATCCGACTTGGGCCGGCAACCTAAGAAGTAGCAGCTCTAAAGTCCAGGCAGAGAAAAGCAGTAGACGGGCTGAGGTTGGAAAGGCCTGGCTATTTTGGTGTGCCTGGCTTCTTGGGGGTGCCTGGCTTCTTGGTCTGCCAGAGGTGTCCTTGGATGGTGAAGGCATCCACACTCATGGACATGGTCTTGCTGGGAATCTGCGTGAAGCGCTTACGGTCAGAGCTGTACTTGTAGATGCCCTCGATCATGGCCAGAGTGATGGTGCGTGGCCCGTAGCCTGCCAGGCGCGTCAGTTCCTCCGTCTCTGGCGACAGGGTGTACAGCGCCCGGAACTGGCAGCTCGAATCACGGAACAGGATGAGGAAGTGATTAGCTTTGCTCTTCTCCACTTCCTAAAATGGAGGGGGGCAGGGAGGAAGATGCGTGTAAAACAGGAGTAAGAATCAAGTCGAGGCGCATAAAACATTCCAGCATTAGAAATGTCTGCAGAACCAACAACAAACACATACAGTTCTAAGTTCTTGTGAGCCAGCAGCTGTCACACATGATTTTCTTCATCTCCACTGGGAAAAGGGAGACTTCTTCAGAGGCTAGAGGGCTCTCCTACCTTCTGCCAGTACGGTTCAACCGCCACTAGGCTCACAGCCAATGAAGGTGACCAAACACCTTTGCACATGGGGTTCTATGATTAACATCTCTCAGTGGTGCAGCCAGTGTGATGCTTTTATGCCGCTAGATTCTAACAGCGGAAGGTGAGGCCTTGCTGTATTAAGCAAAGCCCATGCAGAGTCAGGAGCTGGAACCAACATGATCTTCCAAATTCACAGAGATCAGAGGAAGATATCTACATGATGTGCACAGTTCAGCAAGTCGAGGGCGAAGGATGCATCTTGCCCAGCCCACAGCCATTTAACAACCTGCCATCCCACCCCATGTTATTGCCCCCTCAGCTTACCTCCAGGATGCGATTTTTCTGGGGTTCATTGACTTTGCCAGCAAGGCAGCAGTGAGACAGTGCATTGTGAATAATGTACTTATTGGACTTGGCACTGGGCTCCTTGTACAGCTTGGGTCCTGCAGAGAGAAGAAGAGTTCAGCAGAGAAGACAGGCTCACGAGGCTCCTTAAGGAAGGCAGCCCTGGCAAGACAAACAGAGATGCTTCACAAGGCAAAAGATCTGGGGGTCTCTTGATGCCCTTGCAGAGCAGGCACCAGGTCAAGACACTTTGCCAGTGCATTTGGAGAAGGAGATCTAGCAGAGCCCCCTCTGTAGTATCACAGGAGGAAAGCTGGAATTTTCTGGAAGGGAGGACTGAGACAGCAAGAGGTTTACCTGTGTACTCTGGAATGGAGGCTGGCGAGGAAGCGGTCGATGCGTTCTCCCAGTCACGCTCCCGGTTCTGGTTGGACAGCAACCGGCTGGGGGACATTGGCCCAGAAGGAGACGCAGCTCTGCAAAACAGAAGTGCTCACCCTTAACTTCTGCAAGCGCAGCACAAGCCCATTTTCCTTGGGCCTGCTACTAGCTAGAAGGCCAACCCAAATCCCACCCACCCTAGAGCACACTGCCAGGGTTTCTGCATCTCCCCTGTGCCCTCTTAATGCGTTAGAGTAACAAGGCTAAGTAGAAGTACTACAAACTCACCGAGAAGACCTCTTGATGGAGAGCGAGTTGCCAGGATCATTGGCCACTGTAGAAAGCGAGAGAGTCGACTGGGAATACACCTTGCTGAGCTTGGAGCCTAGGAATAGGCAGACACATGATCAGGAGATGGGGGCAAAGTTTACATGGCCACAGCTGTCCCTTTCCTGAACCACGGTCCCTTTGCATTCTTGTGCCACCGTGACACATGGCAGCTGTGTTTACAAGTTTTCCGCCGCCCTGCAGAGCGTGCCCAGCTCCTCTCCCATCTAGCCACAGCTCTTACCAAGGAGGCCTTTCACGGGGCTGCGCGCGAGGGCAGAGTCATCACAGAAGACGGTCTTGGGCCGCCCCTTCTTGAGGGCACGCACAGTGGTGGGCTTCTGCCGCAGCACCTTGTCCAGGTCGTCCATCAGCTTGAGCTGATGGCGCCGCTGGTATTCCAGGCGGGTGAAGTCACCGCGCCTCGGCCCCACCACTTCCTCCTCTTGCCGGGGCTGCTCCTCTGCCTGCCGCTGTCTGGAGAAGCACAGTCAAGAACACAGCCAGAGGTTAAAAGTGACCACAAGCCCACCAGGCACAGAATCTGCTATTAACCCAAAATCCACCGGGCATTTTGTAGTTATAGGAGGAAGGATTCAACATCATACTAAAGTGCACTGCAGCTCACCAAGTGGGCTGATCTTTCCTCTCCAGTTTTAGGGTGCGCAGCAGGGGAAACCCTACTGTGCAAATGGAAGTCCTTACGCAGGGCTTCCGCTGATGGGACTCATCAAATGAATTCTGCCCTTAGTTACTCTTTAGGTAAAATGAATTAGTTTTTTATCTGCATTCTGAAACCGCCCCTTAATGGGGGCGGGGGTATGGTAACCACAGACACGCCTCCCAGAACTACCCCTCTTCTCTTGCAGTATGAAGCAACAATGGGAGGTGGTTGCATTCTCAGCTCATGGATCGTAACAGCCAGGTTCAGTAGGCACAACTGATGCCCTGTGTGCAAACCAAGAACATTCCCTAAAACGGGGCAGCAAACTTTTTCAGCAGGGGGCCGGTCCACTGTCCCTCAGACCTGGGGGGGGGGGCGGACTATATTTTGAAGAAAAAAATGAACGAATTCCTATGCCGCGCAAATAACCCAGAGACGCATTTTAAATAAAGGGACACATTCTACTCATGTAAAAACTTGCTGATTCCCGGACTGGCAGTTAGGCCGGATCTGGCCCCCAGGCCTTAGTTTGCCTACCCATGCCCTAGAACAAGGTGGGGGCTTGTAGTTCAGCAGTATCTAGAGGGAACCACATTGACTATTCCTGCTCTAGAATATGTCCCCTAGAATCCCCTGCAAATTATTCCCATAATGTTCCAAGACAATGGTTCATCAGGTCAATGCGGGAATGTCAAAATGGTGGTTGGCTCACAAGCATCTGCCAGAGGTTACAGCGATTCCTCTGCCCTCCATAGCACAAGCAGTGAGCCCTGCTGGGGGAAGGTGCAAGCAACAGATGACACTTTGCCAGGTTATTTCCTTTACTCACACACACTTCTGCTGCCAGCTTAGAAGAAAATCTACGAGTTGAGGGCCAGCAGGAACTTATTTTGCACTAGACAATCTTGCTCACACACGAATCTCATTCTAGGCAGCAGGGTACAGGAGAAAGTCCTTGAAGATGGCACTCCAAGCAGTCAGAGTTCGTTGGCTCTACATAAGGTGGGCACATTTTGCTCCAAGAAAGATCCAGACACTGTCCTTGGAATAAGTGCGACCAATCTGTTTATTATACCCTCATTCTGAATGGCCAGGCCCTGAATCTTGCCCCTTTTGCCATGGAAGATTGAGTGAAAAGGGCCCCATTCACACAAGGCCCCACTGTGACATGAGAGCCATTTCCACACAATGGGAAATCCCAGTGCATCAGAACCAATACAAAACAAATGAAGCAGTAGTTATGGATGTATAAAGCATTACTTGAGTGACTCGATTTCTGTAAGTGTCGGTGTAGCATGGGAACTGGAGAAACCAAATAGAGCAATTGGGGGGGGTGGAACACTGGAAGCACAAGGCCTCCCACCCTACCATGGCCATGCCTACAAGGAGGGCCAAGAATGAGAAGGACCCTGTGGCTTCCCCCATCCCAATCTCACCTTGCCTCCTCCTCTTTCTTCTCCTTCTCCGCCTCCTGCCATTGCTTCCTGCGCTTCGCCTCCTCAGTGCGTCGCTGCTGCCTCTCTAGGAAGCTTGCGCGCTTCTGCGCCATTTCCTCCTCAGCCTTCGCCTCATCCTGAACAAACGCAGCGAGTCAGTAGAGAGAAAGGGTGGGTGAGTCCTCTAAGATGCAGGGCCACTTTTCACTTTCAGGACAGGAGTCACGCAGCAGCCAGGCCTGTCCTTCTGGTTGGCTACAATGACAACTGGATGCTGAACTAGATTGGTCGGATCCAGCAGAGCTCTTAGGTTCTTTTTCTACCTTCCTCTGGACTGGATCCAACTGCTCTCAACCCCTCTGGAAATGCCACTCCATGTATCCTGTGTGATCCTGCCACCCATAGATATGGCTTGCCCAAAATGGGATTCCGAGCACCTACAGATAGGATCCGAATCCCAAGGGTAGGTGATAGAGAGAAGGAAAAAACTTCACATGATTTATCGATGCCTGGAGGTCCCAGGATTATCGAGCCTCAGAATGAGGTCCAAAACTGGCAGAAAGCTCAGGAACTGAGACCTCAAACTCCCACTGCAAATCCCAAGTCAACCTGGCAGAGGTCATTCTCTTCGAGGCTGAGCTCTGCTTCTGGAGCTCATGCTTATGGTCCTATCTTTGGGCCAGTCCAAGATGCTGCAGAGATCTGCATTGCCACTAGAGAGCAGGAGCAGCTGGTGTGATTTAAGCCGGCGCAGTAGAAAAAACATGTCTGGAAAAAGACCTTCCCTGACCCACAAAGATCTCAGAAAGGAGATGCCCGTTTTAAGTTGCACACACACAGTGTCTTTGTTCGAGCACTTGGCTTCAGCAACCCCACCTGTACATTCTGCATACGCTTCTGCCAGTCAAATGGGGCCCCTTGGAATCCCTGTCCCACTGCAGGCCGCCTACTCCTATTACCTTGAGCCAGCCAAGAAAGAGCGAAGCAGCACAGCCACCTGAAGTCCAGCCTAGCCCTGGCTGGCTCCAAGCTGCCTCTTGCCCATGCTCCAAAAGCTCTTCTATAGAAAGTGCAGAATGCCCACCATGAGTGTTAGCAGTCTCCGCTTCAAGCGCTTACCTTGAAGTAGAAGCCCATGCCAGCCCGGGCCGGCTCGGAGTCCAGGGTCTCGGTGATGGATCCCTCCAGCGAGTCGTCGCCATCTGCATCGTCGTCTTCCTCCTCCCCCTTCAGGCTGGACAAGGGGATTTCAATCAGGCTGCTGCGCCGGTCGCTGGGCGAGGAGACGTCACTGGTGCCATCCCCCGAGACACGGCCATTGCCCCCCTGAGGGGGCACCGAGGCCACAGGCCGCAAGTTCCCCTGGGCCTCCGGCACGGGCAGCTCCTCGTCCTCGGCAAAATGGATGGAGGAGCGGGTCTGCATGGGCACCTGGCTGGGGGAAAACTTGCGGAGGTGCGGGAGGGTGTCCACGTTGTGGGGAGGCGTCAGGACCCGCGTGAGGGGGGGCAGCTTCAGCTCCACTGGCCGGGCGTGCCGGGGGCTCTTGGGCGGAGCCGGGGCGGGAGACTTCTTAGGGGTGGGCTGAGGGGAGCGGGACTTGCGGGAAGGGGAGGGCGATGGAGATGGGGAGGACAGCTCCAGGGAGGAGCGGGGAGGAGCCCCCTCACGGCCGGTCCTTGGGGCTGGGATCACCCAGGCCTGCACGCTAGGCTTCTTATCCAGCAGGAGGCGCTGCTGCTGATCGCTCAGACGCTGCATGTCCAGCTGCAGGGAGCTCAGGGCGGTATTCAGCTTGGCCACCGCCCGGTTGTAGTCGCCTAGGTTCTCGTCCAACGCTCCGCCCTTGGTGATTTCTGGGGAAAAGGTCACCTGCTTGTTGTCTAGGCGGGCCCGAGGGCTTCCGGCCTCTTCTTCGGCCTCCAGCTGGGCAAGCCGCTCCTCGAGAGCAAGCCGGCCATCCTCCGACTGGCCCTGGGCATCGGCGGCCTTCTGTAGCTGCAGGAAGGCACTCTTGCCCAGGCGCTGGCGGTGCCGGGTGAAGATGGCCTCAATGCGCTTCTTCTGAGCCTCGATGGCCCGGCGCTTCTCCTCCAGCCGCGCCCCCAGCTGGTTCATCTCTGAGCTGAGGGCGGGGCTCTGGGCGGGGCTCTCGTCTGGCGGGACAGGCCCAACTTCAGAGCCCTCGGAGCTGATCCCACTGGACTTGCTGTCTGTTGCCGCCAGCTTCTTCTTGCGCTCCGCGAAACTGGTCATGCGCACGCCAGAGGCGGACGAAGCCGTGCTGTCGGGCTGTGAGCTCAGCGAACTGACGCACGAGGTGGAGTCGTCGGGGCCGCCAGGGGCCCGCGTGGGCTCCTCGGCATCTGAGTCTAAGCTGCCGTCCTGGGCTGGCTCGGCCCCATTGGGGGGGCCATTGTGGCAGCGGTAAACAGTTGCCATGGGTGCCTTTTCTGGCACAGAAGTTTTCGGCGGCTCCGGAGAGTGCAGGTAAAAGCCATCGGGCGCTCCCTCGGGGAGCAGGCGCTCGCTGCTGTGGATGATCTGCAGGGCCTCCTCGATGGTAGGCAGGTCGGGGTAGCCGTCGCTCAGCCCGTTTTCCAGGGCCAGACCCTCCTGGGCCTTGGGTCCAGCCCCGTGGAGCGGTGTTGTCACTAAGCCATTGGGGGCCTCAACCACGTCAGTGGACCGTGGGCGCGGGGAGCGAGGCAAGGAGGAATAGAGGGCAGGGGCCAGGCTGTCTGAGCTGACAGAGCGCAGCATGCCCACCGGGTTCCCCATCACAATGTCCACATCGCTGTCCAAGCCAAAGGGGATGCTGAAGGAGACCGCCTGTGACAACGGGTGGCTAGGGAAGCGGAGCAAAGTGATAAGATTAGGAGCAAAAGAAGGACCGACAAGCTGGGACATTCCAAGCCCACCTTCCACTCACAACCTGCTGGTATTGCTTCTCACAACTCTGTATCCCAAGTCAGTGGATAAGCAGAGGTCTGGGAAGTTGTCCCCTCCTCTGGCCATATGAAATCCACCCCCCATGCTCCTCACCTGAGCTGCTTCTTGCTCCATGGTTTACCAAAGCCCTCAACATGGGACATGGATGTAGAGTGATGCAGGGAGCCTAAGGACACAAAAAGGACCCAAATCAGAGGAACAAGAGAGCAGAGGAACAAGAAAATACAGCGGGGTTGTCCTAGAGACTTGGTGGCAGGAGTCAAGGCCCTCAACTCAAGGGGTGAGAGGAATCCAAGCAGCTTGCCAGATGTTTCAGACTCCAGCTCCCATCCCTTCCTGACCATTGTCCATGCTTGCTCTGGCTGATGGGAGTGAGAACCCAAAACATCTGGAGGGCTCCAAGTTGGCCCAGGCTGTCCTTGGGGGACAAAACAAGGAGGAGCAAGTACACAAAAGGAGAGCCGCTCTACAAGGATCCTTCACAAAGCATGTGTTTGAAAGGAAACCAAAGGCCCACGAGGGCACAACATCAGCAGCACAAACTCCGATGACGTCAGATATATCTCAGGCTGTCTAGGGCCATCTCTTGAGGTGAGATGTAGATTAAAACCTGCCTTCACAGAATGATCTTTTCCCAGCACAATTTTGTGCATGCCTATTCACAAACAAAGTTCCAGGTGTAAACCAGGAAGGAGGAACCTGCAGCCCTCCAGACATAATTGGACTACAACTCCCATCGTCCTTGGCCTTGGGCCATGCCAGCTGGGCCGGATGGGAGTTAGAGGAGATTCAAAGCATCCAGAAGGGCAGAGCTTTCCCCTCTCTGGTTGCACAAATTGCAGCCCTTATTGCCTTACAAGAGGTTCAATAGAGCTCACCCTTACTCATGCAATGAAATCTAGCATACTGCGCCTTTACCAAAGCATCTTAAAATTGTGCCATCTAAGGCAGGCATACTATGGCTCTGTTGCTCTTGAGAAATGTGCAGCAGCTGCTGGGTAAAGCTGAGCAGCTATCCAGGACCAAGAGCTTGGGAAACCACAGAAACAAGCCCCTGGGGATGCCTACAGTCATGATCATGACGCCTTAAGAAGGACCTCCAAGAGACTTGCATGTGTTTTGCTTAACCTTTTACCCCCAACAGAACTGAAGGACTCCTTTTCTTCCCCCACAGCTTGTATGTGGTTTGTATAGGCCGGGGGAGGGGGGAGAGACTAGATAAAGCAGCAGCATCTTACCTAAAGAACCACAGAGTGGAGACTGTGCCTGCCCTCCAGGCAGCAGTGGGTGGCGGAAGCTGAAAACTGGGGAGCTACAGGGGGGGGGGAGAGATGAGATCAAATTAAGAACATTGCTACAAAACTTGTTGTTACACAGAGAGAAGCAGATGCTGCTTGCACACTGGTTAGGTCTCCAGCCACAATCCAAGCGAAGTCAGCAGAGGGAAACTGGGTGCTGAAAGCTAGTCCTTTGAGGAAAAAGGACTAGTTTGGTGTGGGTTGTTGCATTTGTTTTTTTAAAGGGGAGGGGTGATAGAAACCCAAGAAGGAATTTGCACAACACTAGAATCACTGCATTACATTATACGTGGAACATGTAGGCACTCTGCTAAGTGTTGATTCCGCTCATTCGTTTGGCAAATGAAGTGAACAGACTTGCAGAAACAAGTTCCTTTAATTTGCTGCCTAAAGGCATTCCCATAACTTGCACATGGGAGGAAAGCTGTGCCTACTTTAAAGATCAGAAGCTTGCCCAGTCACACCCCCACCCACCCACCTGCCCTGCAAGAAGAACTACAATTTCTGCTGGCCTGGAGCAAAGGGAGAGCAGCTGCTCTGGCCCTTTACTCCACCAGTGCAACTCAATCCAGGTAAACCACAAAGACTCCCCTGATCAGCAGCTACAGCTGATCAGAGGAAGGGAGCACCCGACTCACACACTAGAAGTGCCAGGGACACAGTTTTCTCCCCAGAGCAAAGGAAGGTCCAACCCTCCTGAAACATAAGGAGGCAATGAGCCACCACAAAAAACGTAAGGAGCTCTCCCCACCCTGATTGCAGGAATAACTCCTTCCAGATCACGTTTCCCCAAAGACTGTCTAATATTAATACGTGGAGAGGCCCCCTAGGCAAGCAGAGAGGGGGGGAGTCAAGCTGTGGCACTTCAGAGTACTAACACATCTGAAGAGCAAGTTGCCGAGTGGGGTTGGTTGTTTTTTTTTTTTAAGGAAAGCAAGGACTCTTATGTCAACAGCACAGAAATCATGAAGGACCTCAAGGACTCTCCCAGACCTCTGCCAGCTGCAATAGCAACATTGCCCCTTTGAAGAGACAATATTTAGCTATTCCTAAAGGGATTCATGGTTTTTGAGCACTACAGGGAAGGGCACAGTTAAGCCACCAGCAGCGTACAACTCCCATCATTCCTGACCAGCAGCCACATTGGTTGTTGCTGGTTGGAGTCCAGCAACATGTTCAGAGCCAATGGCTCCTTGCCTGGAGTCCTCTGTCAGCAACATCATGGCTTGTGGACTTGCAGGTAGCAGTCTGGACATGACTCCCGTCTAAGGCTTCCCAACAGCTTTGATTCATCCACGGGAGACTGGCTAGCCACGCTGCCAGACAGGGAAGCTAGTGATAGCAACACACTCGGGCTAAAGCAGCTTCATTCTATAAGCTGGAACTGGAGCTGACATGGCAGAATGCAGGGTGGGTGAAAAGGTAGGGAACTGGTGCCCTGGAGAAGACAATCCCTGGCATCTCTAGGTAGGGTTGGGAGAGGCTCCCTGTCTGAAACTACAGCTCCCATCATTCTTGACCAGATTCTGATAGCTAGGGATGATGGGAGTTGTAGTCCCAAAACGGCTGGAGACCCAGGTTTGGGAAACCCTGGTGTAGACAATATTGAGAGAGATGGGTTAATGGGGTCTGGTTCAGCATAAGGCAATTTCTCATGCTCCTACATCATCATCCATTTACAAAATCCTAGCTCTGGAATGAGGCACCAGAGAGAGAGAGAGAGCAACCCACAGGCACCTTCCTTGCAAAGCACAGCATCCAAATCTGACTCCCAGCATGGGCAAGAGAGGGCAAGCCTGGTTTCAGGCTCCAAGTGGCGGTGGTGAGAGTAGCAGAGGCTCCCTTACCTGCTGTTGTTCCCACTGTTGGGCGTCAGGGAGTCATTCAGCCCAGGGGAATCTGGAAGAGAACAGCCACTTTACTGAACAAGCCGAGAGGGGAAGGGAGCAGAGCGCTCACGCTGAGGATTAAGTCACTAGAAGGTCAGGAAAGGGTGGGAAAGCCAACCACGTGTACCAAAGGGCAGGAGAGGAACCTGCTCCCATCTCGGCTCACACAGGAGGCCATTGTTCCAGGGCTAGAGCATGCCAGCTCCCAGCAGCCCATGCCTCTGCTCCACTTACTCAGTGGGACAACTGATTTAGGGCGGCGGGGGAAGTGTGACGGTGATAGGCTGCTATCAAATACCTGTGTGCACAGACAGGCTTTATAGCGCAGCCTTTCCTTTTCCTTATTTTTCAGGCATGCAATTTACCACCTGATGTACAGAACGCACAATGGGAATTAAAGGTATCTTTTCTTTTTCCTTTTTTCATTTTGTAACACTTTAAAAATCTTAATAAATATCTATAAAAATAAATAAATAAATAAAGGTATCTTTTCTTGCAGGAAGACCAGAAAAGTGTTCGCAACATCAAAATGCAAACTTTCCAGGAAGGGCCAAGGTTTTAACAAGTATTTGGAAAAGCTGTGAATGCTGGTCAAGATAAAGCCAAGGCAAGCACAATCTAAATCCCGTAACAGGATCCATTGATGCTCCACAGGCAGAATATGTTTGTTCAATTAATCAGATCAAAGTGACTACAAGGTGTGAAACAAACAGACCAGTCACCTTTGGTTTATACCACGTAATATGGGAGGCACATGCTATACCCTCTTTCCATCTCCCCTTAAAAGGAAGGGAGGACCTGATTGCCAATTATCTAGTCCAAAATATTGTACGAACTGTAACAGATAACTTGTGCAAGACAAATTTTCTAAAGCTTTAAGAGAAGCTTTTCATTCTCAAAATTAAGAAAAAGCAGGCGCGTGGGCCCCAGATTTGCAAAATGTCTGGAAAGCTTGCAACTAATAATAATGTCTTCAGAAACAATTAGATACAGCTGCAATTAAGATGTTCTGCACTTCTTCCTTTCTCTCCCCACGTCGACTGTGCGCCCTCCTCTACTCTAATTATCCCACCAGCATTCCATATACCTCAAAAATCAGAATTCTCACGTTCACAAGTATACAAAAAAATTTTTTTGCCATATATACTACAATTATTAATTGGGGGTGGGTGTTAAGTTATTCGGGAGTTGGGGAAGATAGTTTGGGTTTTTCTGCCTGTTCAACACAATGGAAATTATCAGCACATAATATACCAAATACGAGAGTCTGCCCATAATGAATGCACCGACAAGTATCTTGCAATACTACACACCAAAAACAGCACAGCTCTGCAGGCTGGGAATGGACTGCCCCACTCCTATCCTGGGTTAGTTGCTCCTCAAGCTAACTGCTACCACTAAGTTGTGGAGGGTGGGGGCAGCCATATCTTAGACTCCAGCATCCTTAGCATCTTCAGGTAGGTCGGGGGAAAGGCTCTGGGCCTGCAACCCCAGAGAGGCAGTAGCAGGCAGTTTACACACAACAAGGAGCAAGCCGAAGCAGGGCGAGCCCGTGAACCTGGGCAGCTTCCTGGGTGCCACAGACATACAAGCACACCTGCCACCTTCTTACCTTGAAGTCCAGGCAGCTCCTTTGGGTGCACAAAGTCAGGCTTAAGCACCTCAAAGCACAGGAACAACTCTGCCAGGAACACCCCGACGTTTATCTGGGGTTGAAGGGAAATGAGTTAGCCAAATGGTCTGTGGAGGAAGCAGCCTTCATTCCCCTCACTTAGCCAGAGTTGGGTCCAGAGAATAAGGGGGAGGAGAGGACCTAGTCTCTGCTCCACCATCTCCATCTGCAGGTAGCACTCCTGAGAAAAACTCTTCCTGGTGCCTAAAACGCCTGTCTCCTGACCCACCACAATCCCCGCCCCCAGCACTGCCCTGCCACCCACTGCAGAAGGGCCTCATTGTTCTTGCACGATCAGCCTCCAATTAGTGCAGCCGGAGGCCCCAGCCAAGGCTCATTAGGGCCAAGGCAGGCTGGACGCTCAGACCAAACACTAATCCCCACTTGCTCCACATGAGCAGCCACACGGGGCACGGAGCAAGGCTTCCTTCTGCCATGCCAGGGCTCCTTCCAAGCAGCTCCTCCGCCCCTGAAGCTCTGCAGGGCTTCCCTTACTGCAGCCAGGACAGCCATGTTTTCATCTCTAGAGGTCCAGAGGGGCTGGAGGACTGCCCCACCTCCTGCCCAGTCCCAGCACTCACCCTCAGCATAGGTGGCATGTATAGCAGGTCCTCCAAGGAGAGGAAGCAGGAGCCACCCAAATAATCCGCAGAGAAGCCCTGGATCAGCTGCAGGTTGTACAGGCTGTCTGCCACCGACATGGTCTCCTTCAGGCACACATCTACCGGGCAAGGGAAGCACACAATAGCCATCAGCGTGTGGGGTGCATGCATGTGCATACGCACACATGTGAGTGGAGGCGATGCACACACAACGGCTGCAAGCTCCGAGCAGCTGCCCCATCCCTCCACCCAGGACCCAGAGCACCGACTTACCCTCGAGGCGCACAATCTGGGGGCAGTAGTAGTGGATGGTGGCAGCAATGGCGCCCCCGCTGGCCAGGTCCTTCATGCCAGTGATGGCAGGGAAGCAGGGAGTCTGCTTGGGCAGCGCCTTGTCCTTCCGATAGCGGATCTGTGCAAGGCAGAAACGCAGGAGGAAGTCAACACGGCGACGGAAGGAGCTGGTCCCCACACAAGGGACACTTGAAAAAGCCTGAAGAAATGCACCCCCTGACTCCTCTCGGTCCAGGGCCTCACACCCTAAGCTCCTCCATCCCACCCTCAACTTCACCGCCATGCAGAAGCCCTCATGGAATTCTTCCTGGGAATACCCAGGGGGTGAAGTTACCCAGCCAAGATTAACACCCTCTTTCCCACCCCAAGAATATGTGTGCACAAAATATGACACCTCCCCCACCCTGCCCCAATACCAAGAGCAAAGTGCATGCTGGGAGGGAGGCAAAGGATATAAAGCGGAGGTGGGGGGGCGCAAGCGAGTCCCTCGAAGGCACAAGTCCCTCTGGGTCAGCCAAGGAGGAGAAAAGCAGGAGGGAAGTGAGGAGGAAGCAGCCAGCATAGGAGGAGAAAAGGAGACGCTCTCCCTTCTGTAGCAGCTCTGAGTGACCCCCAAGACCAGCTGCCAGCTCCCCTCACTCTCCCCACCACACAAATGTTCCAAGGGGAGGTTCTGGTCTAGTGCTAGACCCAGTGGGCTGCAGCGCCACAATGGCTGTGAGGGGATGCTAAATGGGGGGGGGGTCTGGGGTCTGCCCTGGGTAGGAGAGAAGACAGAGGAGCCAGCAAGTCAGTCCTGCTAAATAACTGCATTTCCCACTCCAAGGAAACATGCTTGTCCTCACCCCAGGACACAGCAGACAAGACAACAAAAGGCAGCCCCCACACCAGAGACACACACAGAGCAGGGCAGGCCGTGCGCAGACATTGCACAGGGCAAAGGGAGGGGGGAAGGGGTGCACAGACAGACAAACAGGCACAGACACCCAGCAGGCCAGCAAAAAATAAAAAAGGGTGGGGAGAAAAAAACAGAGAGAGGCAAATGGGGCACCTCCATTCCTGCTGCAATGAGCTGGAGGGAGGTTTCAGAGGGAAAGGGCCGTATCCCTGGGGTGGGAAAGAGTTGGCCGTAGACAGCAAGCTCTGGAGACCAGCTTGACAGATGCTCTACCCCTTCCTCCACCACTGCTGAAGCCAAGAATTAATGGAGCAAGCCTCCCCCCCCCACCTGCCAGCCCAGGAGAGACCCAAAGGAACCAAGGGAGGAGGTGGTCACAACAGGTCAACTCTCGACACAGCAGGAGTTTTGGTGGGCAGTGGTGGTAATGAGAGGGTTTGTGCTGATGGCTGCACCCACATCTTTCCCTTCCTGACACCTTACAGCTCTAGAGAGAAAAGTCGGTGGACGCCCCCACACTAAACGTCCTAAAATAGAACAAAAACCAGAGTGTCTAACAAAAACAAGAAATGCAACCCTGGATTTCTGCAGGCTCTGGAAAGGCGAGGGGCTGATTGTGTTTGGAGGGTGAGCAACGAGATGAGGCAAACTCCCAAGAACTGAGGGCAAATGGCAGGTCTCTTGTGGGCATTTGGGGGGAGCCCTTGGAGGTGGCTGTTGGTTGCTCTGAACGTGGAGGAAGGAGGACCCTGGAAAACGTCCAGAGCGGAGGGGGAAGCTCGCCTCTCCAAGCCCCAGGCAAGTTGGCAGCTTGCAGGGCAGGGGAGAAAGGCGGCCCAGGCCCATTGCAGCAGGAACGGCCCGAAGTCCTAGAAAACAGCAACCCGGGTGGAAGGCAAGGTGGTGCAGGCGGGCGGTGGGAGGCACGCGCCGACGGATACATTACCACAGGAGGCTTATTCCCCGACTCCTTCAAACAAAAAGCGATGGCATGCTGGATGCAATAGCAAAGAAAAGAGAGAGCCTGATCAATGCACCCGCAAGGAGGGAGGAGAGAGGAGGGAAGGGCTGCTGCTGCTGCTGCCTTACAAGGCTGGCGAATGGGGTAGGGGTAGGGGGTTGCAGGGAAGGCCTAGCCAAGGCCTAGCTTTCTGCCTGGGGTGATTAAAGCCTCCCCAACATGCACCTGGGGCTCCTGAGAGAGCCCTCTCTCCCTTCCGGAGCACCCCACACTCCTGAACACTAAACGCAATGTAGCATCCAGGCCTAAGTTCGGACTAGTCCGCACTCTCGGCTGCACTGAGTACAGCTGGGCAGCAAGCAAATGGCGGGGAGGGGGGGGACAGAAGGCAACACAGAAGGGGGGAATAAAGGAATGTCGTGTAACTAGCATGCTGTTCCTACTTGGCAGCTCCAGGCATGAGCTGCCCTGCTCTGGCTGTCTCTTAACCCCTCTGCACAAATGAAAACCGGGGCTTCTCGGTTGATCTCTGAGGCAGTCCCTCTTGCCTGTCCATTAGACCCCAGGGCACCTGTAACCCCAAGGAGGTTGCGTTATTCAGGGCAGGAAGAAGAGATCCGTTAAGCACCCACCGCCACCGCCACCGCCAGAACCCAACCCTCATGTGCCCCAACACGCGGAGCTAAGAGAGAGCAAAGCAGGAGCGGGTTGCGGAGGGAAGGGAGATGAGAACAAAGGATGCTGGGATATACCAGCATCCCAGCAGCTGGTGTCTCATGTGGGAACACCTCCTCCTCCTCCTCCTCCTCCCGGGACAGGGTCCCCTCTGCCCTCAAAGTCTCCCAAAAGTACAGGCAGGTGCCCATCCCACAGGGAGCAGGGCAATGTCGTCCCCGCAGCCTTTCCCTCACTGAAACAAACACACACACACTCAGGTATCTCTGCTCCAAGGTCCTAAATCCCCAGCATCCTTTGCTCTGGGTCCCCCTGGCATGCAGCGCAGGAGCCAAAAGCAGCAGGGAGATAATAAGTAAAGCCACCCACTTACAGGAACCAGTTTCCAGTACCACCTTGTGGGACACTGAAGCAGAGGAAAAGATGCAGAAAAAGACAGCTCTGTCACATAACACACCGTGACGGTATCGCACTCGCAGCACAGAAAGCCGGAGGGGCAGCTTGGGCTGGGATGAGGCCTCGTCGTTGGGCCCATCGGGAACATGAACAGGGCAGCTTCTCAGGCAGGCAACCCGCCTCCGCCCCCCTCAAAATGGTCTGACCGCTCTGGCCAACAGAGCCAGTGAGCCAGCCCCACAGAATGGATTTGGGGGAGAAGTCAAGGGTCTCTGGTTGCCCACAAAGCAAGGACAAAGCAGACAAAGGCCACCTCACAGGAGGAGGGCGAAGCAGCAGATTTACAAGGGGGGGAGGTAGGGAATCCTTGGGGTGCAGGGAGTTCCCAAACGTGAGCTAGAGTTGGGGGGCAGGGAGTCAGTCAGAAGGGAGGAAGCAAATTCTATCTTCGAAGGAAAGAGCGGGAGGGAAAGGGTGTGGCTTGTACACAGAACAAAGCCGGCATGGATAAAGCCACCCTTCCATCGCCACGCTTTAGCAACTGGGGCAGGGCCCACAAATGGCCTCCCTCCCTCCCACTCCAGCTACGCCACAAGCCCAGACTCCCTCCCTGCTCCATTCAGAAGGAAGCTGCACGAGCCGGGCAAACGCACCTTGGGACCGCTGTTGGAGGCCTGGGTCTGGCCGTCTGTTCCTGCAGCAGCCCGCTGAGTGCATTCCTGCTCGCTGCTTTGCTGTATCTTGTGGATGATCTGGAGGGAGGAAGCAAGGAGCATGCCGTTGTTGCTTTTTGTTTTGCTTTTTATAAATACAGTTGTACCTTGGAAGTCGAACAGAATCCGTTCCAGAAGTCCATTCAACTTCCAAAACATTCAAAAACCAAAGCGTGGCTTCTGATTGTCTTCCTGCAGCCAATCAGAAGCCCCATTGGATGTTTGGCTTCCAAAAATAGTTTGCAAACCGGAACAGTCATTTCTGGGTTTGCGGCATTTGGGAACTACCGTACTTTTCCGTCTATTAGATGCCCCCATGTATAAGACCCCCCCCCTATTTAGGGGGACTCAGTTTTAAGAAAATGAGGGGAGATGGCCCAAAGTTGTTAAACCTCTCCCCCCACGCAGCTGTGGGCAGGAAACACTCCCTAGATCATTTCCTGCACACAGGTAGGGAGTGTTTCCCTTGCGCAGCAGCATCGAGGGAAGTTGTGCTCTAACCAGCCAGCAGGTTGGCCAGAGGGCACCTTCCCCTGATGCTGCTGTGCGCCCGGGAAACGATCCAAGGAGTGTTTCCCATGCACAGCGGCATCGGGGGAAGCTGCATGCCGCCAGCCAGTGCCCCCAGATCGCTCCCCGTGCTAAGCGGCATCTCCTCCCATGCCACTATCCATTTATTGGACAACCCCAGTTTTTTGACATGATTTTTGTGTCCAAAAACCTCATCCAATACATGGGAAAATACGGTAAGCTGTTCCAAAACCAAGGTACGACTGTATTTTTATTGATTTTTTTTCAGCACAGGATACAATAAAAGTCAAACTAATTTAAAGATATTTTTAAAAAGCGTGTTGGGAAGAGGCACACATACCTTACCAATCCCTGCACACCCCACCCACAGACCACTTTAAGGTGCTGAAGGTCCCTCCTCTCCTATTCTCCTCTCCTTCCCAAACAGGTCATGTTATATGTGTCTCCAAAAACATGACTGCCTTCCTGCGCCCAGGCCAAAAAGAGAGATAAATGACTTGTGGCACCTTATTAAAGATGACAAATGTGTTACGGGGATAAACTTTCATGGATTAGAGATCCCTTTATCAGATGCATGAAGTTAATCCCCCATTGGCATGTGGGTGTAAAAAAAACTTTTGTTGGCGAGGAAATGCCAATGAAATGCAACTCTAAAGGTAAAGGTAAAGGTACCCCTGCCCATACGGGCCAGTCTTGCCAGACTCTAGGGTTGTGCGCTCATCTCACTCTATAGGCCGGGAGCCAGCGCTGTCCGCAGACACTTCCGGGTCACGTGGCCAGCGTGACAAGCTGCATCTGGCGAGCCAGCGCAGCACACGGAACGCCGTTTACCTTCCCGCTGGTAAGCGGTCCCTATTTATCTACTTGCACCCGGAGGTGCTTTCAAACTGCTAGGTTGGCAGGCGCTGGGACCGAACGACGGGAGCGCACCCCGCCGCGGGGATTCGAACTGCCGACCACGCGATCCGCAAGTCCTAGGCGCTGAGGTTTTACCCACAGCGCCACCCGCGTCCCCTGAAATGCAACTCTACTTGTGCTTAAATGTATGCAAAGTAAACGCAGCGCCCCTTCACAACAGCAGCAAATTAGTGATAGAATGAAACAGGCCGGAACAGAATCAAGGAACTGCCCCTTTTATTTCTATGAGGTCATATTCAAAACCAATGAAAAAACTATGTTTATTATCCTGCCCCTATCCTTTGGGCTCCAGGTGAGATTTTATAGCAATTTTTAGTAGGATAAATCTATGTCCCCAAAGGGCTCACAAATCGTAAGTAATCTATCCAAACCATTTTACTCCAACCTCACATTTTCCATGTCAGAGGTTGTATAGTGCAGCTGGGCATGGACTAGTGCAGATGTGGAGAACCTCTGGCCCTTCAGATATTGCTAAACTACAACCATCACTGGCCACTGGCTATCCTTGCAGGGGCTGATGGGAGTTGTATTTCATTGACCTCTAGAGGAGTAAAGGTTCCTGGAGTAGAGAATCAAACAAACTTGCTGTGTGAATAAAGTGGGACGTTAACTCCCTCTATGCCCACCTAAGTAATCTGGAGGAAGCACAAATATCAAGAATAGCTGATTGATTGATTGATTGATTGATTGGCAAATAAATAAATAAATAAATAAATAAATAAATAAGGTACCATGTCTATCCAGTGCAGAAGTTTCTGGTCCCAGGAGATGGCTGCCAGATCAGTGCCTGGCGTAACACTCAGTGAGCTTGTGGCTTCCAACGCAAACACTGTCATCAGTGAGTCAATCAATGCCAGGTGCGCACCCTGTACGTGTGGCAAGGAAGAGAGAGACAAGTTAGGCAACCTGTGTTCAGCCATGAGGGTATCCTTACCCCACAAATGGAGCCAGGCACATAGTTGGTGCCACCCCTAGGTGTGAGATTACACAGGTAAAGGGAGAACTATCTTCCCATTGATGCTGGGACAGGTGCATGCAAGCTCCATCATTCCTCAGAATGAATTACCAAGTTCAGCTTACATTTCTCCCTGCTTCCTAAATTTCAGAGACACAGATCAACTATGTTCTGCTCTCCTGTCACAGGGCAACAGGCTAGCCCTCCATGGCATAAGCTGCTTTCTCCAGTGTAATAAAGCACACAGAGTGTCGGGGGCATGCTAGAAGGACAGCGTCTTGGCTGGAGTGAATAAGCAGGAATGACTGAATGGAGTTGCCACCAGATGCAGGCTGGGAGCAGGAAGATGGATTTACTCTGGAAGTGCATACTCGATTCTGACCAAGCTAAGCTTCCTGATGTATATTTTGCTCTAGGGGGCTTAGTTTGGTCAGAATCTAGTATACGCTTTCAGAGTTAATGCTAAATACATCACTTCTGGTAAATGAGCCACCATAGTTGCTAGAGGGCTATGCAAATTGGTGTCCTGGGCTTTTTAGCCTCCTCTACCCATGTACTATCTGAAGCCAAAAGGGTGCATTGGTTGCCAGATGTGAAATATATTGGCATCATTTTCAGCTCTCCCACCCCACTACAAGGACTGGAGTCTTGGGCCAGATCATGGTAACACGAGAACCCCCCTTGTTGTGTCCGACTGAGCAAGCTCAGTCCCAGTCTTACACCACAGGAGAGCAGATTAGTTGCCTTAAGCTTTTAATGCTGTTAAGGAGAACCTGGATGAGAGCAGCCTGGGGGCAAAGGGAACATGTGCTAGGTGCAGATATTGGGCTTTATTACCAGCATCGTCATCATGCACGCAGTCTGCCTGCCCCCATGTTTCCCTCCAAATTCTTCATGCAAGATCTCTCAGCGCCCCAAACCCAGGAACTATGGGTCCAGGAGCAACAGCCTCTTCTGCTTCTGGGCAGGTCTAATAGGATAGCCTACAAGCCAATTATCTCTGCGAAGACCCTAGCAACAATGCCAGCTGCCTTCTGATATTCTAAAGTGGCAGGGGGAGATGGAAGGCAGCATCTTTCTTGATAGGACCCATTTGCAGTCCACAGTGGACTTGCAGTGGTTGACATGGGGAGAGAAGCAGCAGGTAGAACATTAGACTGGAAGACCCAAAATTGCCTGTGGTCTCTCCAACCAAAGCTGAAATCCTTCTAGCCAAGAGGTTTAAGCAGGTGGGATAAACTTGAGCCACTTCCTATGGAAATATGAAGGAAGGTCCCAGGCCCTGAATAATGGTACTTTTATCTGTTAAGCTCCTGAACAGAAAATGTGACAGAGAACTCTCCCTCCTACAACCTCACCCCCATGGCAGAAGCAGCACTAGAGGATTTTCTGCCAGCAGTGATCTGCTAACAAGAAATGGAAAAAAGTGAAGTCTCTGCTGAGTCAAGGGGGGAAGGGAATATCCAATTCAGCATAAAGTGAATGTTCCATCAGCACGGGGATTTTTGCTTGTGCAACAGAATGTTCTTCCCCTCTCCTCCCCCTGCAAAGCTGTTCCAGGGGTTTCTCCAACCCTCTGGAGTAGATTTAGGGAGGCTGCATGGCACATGCAAGACAAAGGTGGTAGTGGTAGAAGCCCAGTTGCCCAAGTGGAAATCCTTGTGCCAAGAGGACAACTGAATACTGCTCAAGGCTTGCCTCACAACGATATGAGGATGGACAGTTTATACAATCAGCTAAATTCAAGTGATGATGGTTTCTCTGGACTGTACCTCTTCAGGCTGAATGGAAGGAATTGCAAGTCTGAAGCTTTTTCACCAAGAAAATAAAATGTTGAACTAATGAAACTAGACCAAAGGTAGCCAATGTGTGGCCTTCCAGAGATGTTGCTGGACTACAACTCCCATTATCCCTGACCACTGGCCATCCTAGTTGGGTCTGATGGGAGTTGGAGACCAACATCACTTGGAGGGCTAAAGGTTCTCTGCTCCTGGACTAAACTGAACTCTTTTCCCTGACATGTTCATTCTCTACATGCAGGTATGGGATCAGCTTTCAAAAAGGGACAAACTTTGCTACTCAGTTCTGGCCAAACTGGTGCACCCTGCACAAAGTTTTTACTGAAACTCCTGCCTGAACAAGTTATGGAAAGTCAGCCCACAACTGTAAAATGCAATGAAAGCTCCCACCCATCTTTAATACAGATCCTAGGACCCAAGTTTTGTCATGGCTATCGTCAAATAAAACTTACTGCTACCATGGCAAACGTTTTAAGAATGGGCTATGTAGTCACACAAACACTGCGTTGGTTATTCAAATGACTACAGCTCTAGCCTGATCCAGGAATGGGGTTTTTTTGTGAGGAGGTGGGTTCAAAGGAAGAAGAGCAGGAGTATCAAAATGTGAGTTCACTGAGTGCCCAATAGCAACTGGGTCCTTGCAAGCAAAAGGCAGCAAGCAGGCCAGATGCAGGCCTCTAGGTACACCACACCCAGCCCTTCCTGGCAGCCCGATTTTCTGCACCAGCAGAGCGGGAACTGCAGCAGAGGGAAAAGCTGTTGACTCGACAGTGAATCAAGCTTGGGTGTTAATGGGGTGCTCGACTTGGGAGACAGAGAGAGAATAATGCAGAATAAGGGATGTGCCAAGCCTGAAGGGAGAAGCCTGAGAACAAGCCTCTCATTCCCCTTCAGAGCTGGGGCCACACCTAGCACACCTCAGGACGGGGGACCTCTGGCTAAAAAACCCTGTTCCCCTGGTTTCTTCTTCCCCTCCTTCAAAGACAAGGCCCAAAACAGACACAGCCAAGCTCCCTCTAGCTGCTTGGGCCTCAATAAGGCTTTTGTGGGATAAATACACTGAGGCCGTGTCAGACGAGGCCAGGGGAGTCGGATAATAGCCACACTGCTCGGCTCTGATGTCTGCTTTCCAATATCATTGCTGGCAGAAAGCCAACATGGCTGCCACGACCAGCTCCCTCCACAGAGCAACTAATCCGCTGCTTTGCTCTCCCATACTCTTGGAGTTCAGGGTGTGGCGGCAGCCTAGCTGTGTGCTCTCTAAACATCTTGTCCCATGTGGCGCGCAACCTACACCTTCCTTGGGAGGGGCTCCAAATGCCCGAATAAAAATCAAGAGTCTCCATCATTCTCATCACCCTCAACCCCGGGCAAGATTAAATCTTCCCTTTCCAATTGCTTCCATGGGTACCATTTCCCCAGCTCACAGCTGGGAGCAAGGGAGATAGAGGACACCCCTCCCTCCAGCTAGCTGGCGCTCTCGCCTCTCCTCCCGGCCTTGACAGAATCACCAGAGCAAAATTAATAGCAATCAGAGATACCCGCTCAGCGCAGAGCAATCCCGCCGGGCACCTGCCAGCAGAGCCGCACCAGCAGCGGGGATTCCCCCTCCCTGCCTCCCCCTCCCATTACACAAGCACCAGGCGGAAGAATGATAATTGCTGGGCCCAGGGAGCAGAAATCCCCAAGCCCCCTTTCTGGGCTTTAACAATTTGTACATCCTTCCTAGCGCTGGCTTTGTGTTGCTTCCCCCATATTCCAGGTCTTCCTTTGGTCCACCGCAAAAGCAAACTCCCCCCCCCCACCTAAAAAAATTTTTTTTATTTGCTTTTCTGTTTTTGCCATCAACACATACATACTCTGTTACATTCATGCATAAAATGAAAAGAAAAACGATAACATACATATAAAACATAAACATGTACTAATAATAGTTTATATATATATATGTTTAAAGCCTATATATTTTTACTTTTACTTCCCTTCCACTCTTTCCTTGGTTTTCTATCCTTTTAACTGAGTTTTATTTCTTTTGCCACATTCCAATGTGTATCCATTTGGAATTCTCGTATCAACACCTCAACAATTCTCATTTTTAAAAAACCCTCATAGAAAGTGGGGTGGGCTTCGGTGTAAGGGACAGACAGACTCCAACCTCAGCCTCCTTCTGAGCCCCACCCCCCCTTCTCACACACTTCTTGCCTTTCACACCTAAATAAGTGTACGGTTCCACCCTTCACTGCTCTCTCCCCCCCCCCATCTGTTTTCTTGCAGAGGGGAGAGGTAGACACCCGCAGTGTTTCCCAACCACATCCCCTCCCCACAACAGCCCTTCCTGAAAATAGATAAATTGGAAAGGGAGATAGGATGTGGAGTTGTCAGCGATTGCAGATAAGTTTCCCCAAGTTCACTTACAATTGCTCAACCCCACACTCACTCCGAGCCAGCTAGTTATAGGTGCTTCTAAAAGGGGACACACAAAGCTAGGCCCCTGTTTTGCCCCTGCAACAGTAAACCAGAACAAAAAGAAAGAAAAAGAAAGCACCCTTCATTCTAGCATATTATCCTGTTCTCCCTCCTTCTTAGGATTTGCTATACTACAAACCACTAAGGTCCCACCCAAGTTAAAGGAAACCTGAATTCCCATGTGCTTGTGTACAAGTGAAAAAGGACTAGCCGCTTGTACAGAGGACCTTCCTTCTCACACGTGTACAGATGTTTGTGCATGCCGGGCCTTAGACCAACAGTAAATAACTTCCTTTGCCAGCAGAGGGTCCCTGGTTCAATCCTTGGGAGTCTCCAGGGAAGGAAGAACCTTTGGAGTGTTGCTACCAGTCAGTGTAAACAACACTCAGCTGGAGGGACCAGTGGCCTCATCTGGCATGAGGCAGATGTTCCTAATTCTGGCCATCTAACCTTTAGTGCGCTGTTGCCCATCTTCTCTCCTTGGTAGTATCAGCACTTTAAAAACCAACGGGGCTTCGAAGGGAGCAGCAGGAGGCTTCAGCTTCCCAAGCGGGAGAGTCAAAAGACCTTGGGGTGGGGGTGGGGGGTAGAAAGAAACTTCTCCTGTGGTGTCTTTAGCCACACCTCAGCCCTCCCCACCCACAGAGAGATGAGGGAAGGGGTTCCCACGGGGTGGCTGGGATCTAAGCTTGTAAAGGCTCCACCCTGAAGCTGTGGCGCCACAGAAGACGCTCCTTGTATTAACAGAGGCAGGCAAGGAGGGAGGGAGGAGGGAAGGAGTTTTGGGGATTTGTCTGTCACCCTCAGGGCCTCCACCATGCCACTGCACAGGACTGGACAGCGCTGGGGAGAGCAGCATATACACAAGGCTGTCAACAGGAGCAGCGAGCGTCCTCCCCACAATTCAGAGCCTGCCTTTGGGCCGGTGGCAGGGGGATCCTTTCACAGAAAATCCTTTTCTCCGCCCCCCTCTCCCCCAAACCATCAGTTACATTAAACATATGCCCAGAACAGCCAGTGCTCTTCCTCTGTACAGCAGCGCCCAGCCACTAATGCTGCCTTTGCCATCCTGGTGACTTCCAGATGCTGTGGACCACAACTCCCACCAGGCCCAGCCAGCACAGTCGCTGATGGGGAATGGTGGTCCCAAACATCTGGAAAGCACCAGAGCTAGTGAAGCCTGTGCTACTGTCATCTAGATCACCAGGTCACAGAGCTCCAGGCATATATATATATCTAGGGGATGACTGCACCCATTTGAGCCAACCACATTTCAAAACTACAAAATTCATGCTTCACATTGTGGTTAACTAATATAGACTAATTTTTAATGCTTATGTGGGAGTTACATTCCGGGGATCATGCCTAAAGCCAAAATCGTGTATCGTCAAAACACCTTGGGTACAATGGTGGGTGGGATTGCCAAAGCCTTTTTTCCTGGACGTCTGCTCCCTTTTCATCTCTTTTTTATTTTTTGCCAAGTGCATAAAGCTGAATGCACACAAGTTAAACGTGTGCAAGTTGTGGGTATCCTGGATAGCCTACCACAAGCGCGGCCTCTGCCACCACACTGTTGCAGTACAGTGGGGAAATGAACATGATGAACTTAGCTCTGCTCCTGAATCCTCAAAGAGCAGGTCCTCCAACTCACGTCAGCACAGCCTGCAATTGTCCACACCTTGCCGGACATGCTAGCAGGGGCCGATGTGAGATGGAGGCCAACAACAACTGAAGAACCGCAAGTTAGCCACCCCTGCATCGTAGCACCCCACTGAAATTTAGAAGACACAATCCTACCACGTTCATTCTGGAAAGGCACTAACTGAGTTCCCCAGCTCTGTTCCTGGTTTCAGCTAAGAGTTGCAGGGCAAATAATTTCCTTCCATTCTCCAGCAACCAACACCAACACCCACTCCAGTTTGAACAAACAGTACACGCCCCCCTCCTTCTGCAAGAGCACCAAGTCAAAATGTTTACCCCTGGAAAGATGCCAAGCTTGTGGACTTACCAGTCTGATTGGTTTGTGGTGCAGATCTGTGTCCTTGATGGGCTTGTCTTGGAAGGTGGGCACCAAGCCACGATGGGCCAGAAGCTGGAGCAAGGCAGCATTGTCCTTGGGGGAAGGGGCGCCATCAGCGCCCGATGGCAGGGCCCGGCGCCAGGCCCGGCAGTAGATGTCAGACGAATGCAACAAGCGGATGAGAGGAGGCTTCATGTGCTCCTGTTCATACTGGTCTGTATAGAAGGGTTCGCGTAGCTCAGCAGGGATGTGCTCTGTACACAGAGAGAGAGAAACAGTCACATTATTCCTTGCGCTCAGCAAGCCTCTCTAAAATATCCCATCTGCCTCACAGTATCTTTTGCACACCAACCCCCGGAGCCTCCTGATCCTCAGTACCCCTATTAGTTTTCTGTCACCACTATCTGCCCCAAGTCAGTGAGCTGCAGTGGCTAAGAGAGTGGATTTTGGTGCAATAAATTCAGGTATAAATCCTCAATCCACCCTGAAGCTCAGACACCAGATCTGTGTCTCCCCAAAAGTTGTTGGACTACAACTCCCATCAGTCACAGCCAGTATGGTCAATGGACAGTAATTATGGGAGTTGCAGTTCTGGGGGGCATCTGAAGAGTACCAGGTTAGGGAAGCCTTGACTATTTTATCCCACAGGAACTGTTGTGAGAAAAAGATATCCTATGTACGTTGTTTCCTGTCTTCCCCTAATAAAGAATGGGGTAGAAATGCAATGAAAAATTATACCAAGAGAGGAGGTGTTGCAGATAAAATGACATTGTCCCCCTCCAGGGCCTTTTGCTGTCTCTCCCCTGTCCCCACAGGCCTGTCTCCAGTGTTAAAGGGGGAAAATAGTTCCACAGATGGAGGTGGGGTCAAGCCCAGGCACACAACAGGCAGGGGATCCTGAAAAGCCTTCCAAATGTCAAGGCCAGCAGGTGATTCTTAATGATATAGGTTGTCTCTTTTACTCCTCTCAGTCTGGGGGGGGGGGGATCAGACAAGTTAAGAGGCACATACAGTGGCTCAAGGCTGCATCAGGGTGAATCCCACCGTTCAGGACCAGGGCCAGAAGCAGCACCCAGCATCCTCAAAGCAGCACAGGAGTCAGCAAACTTTTTCAGCAGGGGGTCAGTCCACTGTCCATCAGATCTTGTAGGGGACCAGACTATATTTTGAGGGGGGGACGAATTCCTATGCCCCACAAATAACCCAGAGATGCATTTTAAATAAAAGGACACATTCTACTCATGTAAAAACATGCTGATTCCTGGACTGTCCATGGGCCAGATTTAGAAGGCAATTGGGCTGGATCCGGGCCCCTGGGCCTTGGTTTGCTTACCCATGCTCAAGCAGCTACCAGGACCAAAGCATCATACCAGGGCCCACCAACATTGCTGTTTGGCCCACCCACTTACCCAGTCCCTTGGTCACATATTTATGACAGTACCACCAGGAGCTAGTAATCTAGGGCAGAAAACCTCTGGGTGATCATGGCAAATGAGGACACGCTCCTGGTCCCTTGGGTAAAGGACTTACAGTGGAAAGGAAGCTGCCCCTCATTTTGATTTACTCACAGCACATGAGAGTGCCCCAAGTAGTTGGGCTCTGAAGTGGGAAGGGGGGGACCTCTGGCCCACAAACACTGCTGGGCTCCCAATGTCCATCAGCCCCAGGCAGCATATTCATAGGTCAAGGATGCAGTCCAGAAATGTCTGGGGGTGGGCACAGCTTCCCCACACTTGCCTTGGCATACCTGGAGGGTGGGCTGGTTGAAGGTTGTTGCACCCTCGTTCCCTTCCTATGCCCAGGTGGCCGATTTCAGGAAGTGGAAGGTTTCCCTGCATGGCCTCTTCCAGCCCTGCTCAATGGTTTGGGGGAAACTTACGCCAACGATGTCACCTCCCCAAATGTGGAAAGCCAAAACATACTGCACAGATTCGTTGCCTGTTAATATACTTTCCCTAATTTATTACTGGCCTGTCTATAAAGAACAATAGCTTCTGAAAAATAAAATAAGGTCCCAGGAACTTGGACAAGTCCGCTCTTCCCAAAGCCTTTTCCTTAGTGCTGTCAAGAGCTTAGAACAGAAACAAACATTCCTGATGGCCAAGGCTGGCCATGAGGGCATCACAAGTCACCATCTTAGATCACACACAAGCAAACTGCAAGCCGCATGCAGCCCACTGTGTGTTCCCAAGCTACCCACTCCCAATGCCAATTGAATTTTGCTGAATTTTACTACTGGTGGAAGTATGTAAACTGTGCTACTCACAGCACACCACACAGCTGCTCATTCTGAGGTGGTAGTTGATTATTCTCCTCTGAGCAGGGAAAGAAAGCAAGTATCATACTTGCTAGCCACCACAACTGCTGCTTTCAAAGGATGTGCGCACATATCTCTGTGGTGATATGTACATGTATGTAAGCACCCACCATCGCTGCATGTAGCCTCTGGGGGTAAAAGGACTGTCCATCCCTGGAATAGATATGAGGCAACTAGGGAAAGACTAATCCATCCTTGCCCTCACCTTACAAGTCTCCTGGCATCATAAAACATGCACACACTAGAACAGCATCCCCAGATGGATGCGATTTGGCAACACTTGTGATTTTGAGACAAGGGGTTTCCCCCTTCATGCACTTTCATCTCCACAGCAGAAGCACTGCCTCTTTTGAGCACCTTTCCCCTAGCATGCCAAGAGGAAAAAGGCAGAAGCAAGGAACAGCATGGCTAGGAGCCAGATTCCCTTGAATGCTAGGCGAGTGCTCCCAATCTCAGATAAAACCTTACAGGACAGAAGGCAGAGATGGAGCCTCACGGGGCAGCCTTGGCTGTGCATCCGCTGGGGACTTGCACGCAAACCACACACCCCAACAAGCAAGTGCAGAGCAGACAAATAGCTTGGGGGCACCCACTGCAAGAGCTCTGGCATCCAGCCATAAGAGGAGGGTATTAATTTCTACCCTGACAACACAATTAACATCAGCAGGCTCAGACACATCCACCCTCTGCAGGCTTACGACAGAAAGGGGATCAGCAATGTTATCACAGCACTATTTCAGGGGGCAGTGGAGTGTCCGGAGGCTGGGAATCCTGTGTTTAGCCTCTGGATTGCAAGAGGCAAATTATATTTAAAGGGTTAAGCGAGAAGTCAGGCCAATTTTTGCTTTGGGAAAGGGGCAGGCCTTTGGAGGAACTGGGAAGCAGGCCTCCCACAGGCTCAGTAATAAACGGCAGCGGTACAAGCTTCTCCTTCCTCCTTCAGAAACTGTAAGCTCTCTTCCTCCCACTGGGTTTGCGGTACTCTGGCCTGCGGATGGCAGGTATAGGGAAAGCAAGACATATTAGTGTCTCCTGACAGGAAGATCATGCCAAGGCTTACACGCACGCGCTATACCAGCTGTTTCCTCAAGAGGTGAGGCCACGAGACTGGAGATCTACGTGTCAGCTCCTGCCAGTGAGCAGGGCTGGGAGGGACGGGACATTCCTGAGCGCGCGAGTGTGCAAAGGGGAACAGGTGGAACAGCTTCGCCAGCTGATTCAGCAGCACCTGATCACAGCCACAACTGCACGGGACCAGACTTGTGGCTGCAGTCCCAGCTCCTTTCCCGCCCCATGGCTCAGAGCCCAAACTAACAAAGCCCAGTCACCCCTCCTGGCAGAAAGCCCATCCCACCCACCTCCAAGTCTCCAGGGCATCCAACATTGGGAACAGCCTACTTTGGCTGGGAGGGATAAGGAGAGTGGTGGGACACACACACACACACACACACAAGAGTCCCTAGTCAAATCTTTTAGGCTGTGAATAGCACAGCTTCCCTCCCAATCACAGCTGAACTTGTGAAGGGGGGCACATGTTGTTACTGAGAAATATAGACAGAGCAGGTAACAGTTTTGCCCAACATGGGGCTCGAAACCATGCTCTGAGATTAAGTCCTGTGCTCTACCAACTGAGCAATCTGTGAAATGTCTGCCAAAAGGTCCAGCTTTTCACATGCTCACCAATATTGGCATAGACACTAAGATCATTACCAAACTTCTTGTTGGAGGGGGGCAAGCACAAAGCAGAGCCTGCATATAGTAGCCCAGAACCTAAGAGTGCAAAGAGGTCAGCCTAGACATGAATGGCTATGTATAATACTCTGGGTCCCTGCCACACAACACACCCACCCCACATCAATTATTGCCCAGGGCTAGCATGGTTGCTAGTACTGACCCATGTCCTCTCCTCCCCCATCTGCAACCACAATGGGCGGCTTCTCTGCACAACAGGCACAACAGGCAAACCCAATATTTGGGGTGGGAAGTAATGCAGCTCTAAGGATTATGAAGCCAACAGGTTTTACTGTCTCTTCACATTCTGTCCTGGATGCCTTTTCAGCAGTATCCAGAGTTGAGAATTGAAAAGGGATCAGCCCCTTTTCACATGACAGGCAGCAACGACCACTTTCCCATTGCAAAGAAACTTAAAATGATGGCAGCTTGCTCACTGCACAGAACCATTGTCAGAAACTCCATGAGCGGAGTACAGAAATGGACCTGCTCAGCTACAAAGGGAGGAGAGTTTGCTCCAAACCAAGGTTGATCTTTCGAATCTGAATTCTTTACCACACCAGATGTAAGGGAAAGACAAAGGGGAAAGACTAGATATGGTGAAAGTTAGATAGAGCCTGCTTACCAACCTCAAGGGGGATATTATTGTTTTGTACTTCACAACAGATGAAGGGGCTACTTGATAAGGGGGTCTTGCCAGCCTGGGGACAAATCAGATGTGACATTTGGCACTTGGCTTTGATTTGTGTGGCTGTTAATTTGAAATAAATAGCATGTGCAGAGGGAACAAAGTTGGATAGACACCATGGTGGGGGTGGGGAGGGCAGGGGGTGTTAACCCTTTGTCCCCACTAGGGTACTTACTAGAATCAGGTCCTCACACCTGCTATTGACAATGGAAAGAAGGTAGCAAGCAAGGAAGGACTATGAGGAAAATAGGCACCAAGAGTTTTCTGATTTTTACAAAAACCAGATATAGAGAGGGGTTCTTTGCTAATTCCAAGCAGGACTGTAGTGGGAGGCAAAGGTTTAAAGCCCCTCTGTCTCCCATGCCATGGTCCCAATCTGGGTAGAGTCTCCCCCCCCCCAAAAAAAAAATCACCATTGGCTACTTCTTGATTTAAAACCAGACATTCAAGTGAACAAATGTCACGTCTAGTTTGCTCTTCACATTAAGATATTAATCTGATACCCAATGAGGTGCTAG